GAAGTTCCATAAGTTCAACTAACTTGATATAAAGCCTGGCTAGGATATTACAAAAAACCAAAACTATAAGCCAATATCATTCCCTAAAAGAGATACAAACATTCTAACAACAACCACAAAAAAAAATAGTAAGCCAAATTCAGTGAAATATGACCCAATTGGTTGTATTCCACAATTAAAAGCTTGTTTAACACTTTTTAAATGTAAAAAACCGATGTGATTATCATAAAAGTTACAAAGAGAATATTTGATAAATGTCAAACATATATTCAAGATTTTAAAACCTGTTAGAAAACTAGAACTAATTTAACCTAAAACAAACATATTTAACAGTGAATTACTGAAAATTGCTCTCAGTGGTCATGAATGAAATACAGAGGTTTTTTTTTATTATTACCTCTATTCAGTATTATACTAGAAGCAAAATCCATCAGTATTCACAGACAACACAAATGTACACTTAACATATCCAAAATAAGTTAAAGATATATTCTTAAAATTCGATAAGTACAACAAAGAGAAAATGAATGATTTTAAAGATATCATTTAAAATGGCATGAAAAAATCAAATTACTAAGAATAAATCTGAAAAAATACAAGATCTGCACAAAAATTATAAAATGTTATCGACAGAAATGAAATAGCCTTAAATAACTAGAAAGCTGTACCAGATTAGTGGGGGCAGAAGACTTAATTTAAAATGATGCCAATTTTCTCTAAACCAATGCACAGCTAATCAAAATTCCAGGAGGACTTTTGAGGAAGTCGATAAGTTAATTCTAAAATGTATGTGAAAATTCAAAGTGCCAAACTTAAAAGGGAATAATAAATCAAGAAAACTTATTCTAAAGTAGTAGTTATCAAATTTGACTGTGTGTTATAATCATCAGGTAGATTTTCAAAAACCTAACGGTGATGCCTTACCTTTTACACAATTAAATCTTTATCTCTTGAGGAGAAACCTAGGCATTTATATTTTAAAATCAATCCAGGTATTTTTAATGCACAACCAAGTTTCAGAACCATGGCTCTGTAGCATATTATTATATATAATCTAATAGAAAATATATATTAGATATTGCATATCCACATTACTTAAGACAGGAAAAATTGATGTAAGGATAGCAGTAGATTAATAGAACAGCAAAAAAGGGAAAAGACCCAGGCATGTACAGACACTATTTCTGAGTAAGGTTAACAGAGTAAGATGATAGAAAAAAGGCAGCTTTTCAATAAATATCACTGCACCACTTGACTCTATAGAAGAGAAAAATAAATATTGCTCTCAACTTCAAACCATGTACAAAAACATAAACCCAGGTAGACTGCAGATCTAAAAGTGAGGGTAAACAATAGGATTTCTAGAAGATAATAGATATTTTCATGAACTCAGGGTAAAGAAAAAAATTGTTGACAACACAGAAAAAGGAAAATACAAATTGACTACACTAACACTAAAGTGGAAAACTTTCATCCATTAAAAGACACAATTTTGAAAATAAAAGATGAAGCTATAGATTCAGAAAGTAATTTGCAACACAGAAAACTGACAAGGATTAAGTGTCCCAAATATATATACACATAAACTTCATCAAATCAGTAACAAAAATGTATAAAATTCAACAGAAAAATGAGCAAGAGATATAAACCACCTCTGCAAAAAAGAGTATCTCCAAAAATCCAAGAAATATATGAAAAGGTGCTCAATCTTATTAGTCATCTGGGAGATGAAAACTAAAACCATGAGCTACCACTATACTCTTGCCAGAATGACTAAGATTAAGAAGACGGATAACGTCGTGTTACTAAGCAAATGAGTTAATTGGAACACATATATACTGCTTGTAGGAAAGTAAATTGGATTACTTAAGAAACTTGTTTTTCATTACCTTCCAAGGCTTTATGTACACATACAATATGTCATAGCAATCCTATTTACTTTTATGCCCTATTTAATACATATACATGTAGGCGCACATGTACAAGAATTTTCATGACAAAATTACTGGAAACTCCAAGCCAGAAGTAATCCAAATGCCTATTAGCAGTAGAATTAATATATAAATTGTTAACATACATACTGAATAACATACATACTGAAAATGAATGAACTATATGAAACAGCATGGATTAGTTTCACAAATATAATGTTAAATAGATATACCAACCAGAAAAGAATACATACTGTAATTTTCCATTTATGTAAGGGTCATAAATGGACAAAAGTAATGATGATGGTTACCCTTGAGGGAGATAGTAGACAATGACTGAGAAAGAGCACAGGATAGGGCTTCTGGAATACTTTGAATTTTCTATTTCTGGACCAGGGTGTTGGTTATATGAATGTGTTTACATTGTGAGAATTATCAAGGTATTTACTTTTTTTCCCCTCTTAATTGAAGTACAACATAGTAGTAAAATAATAAGGTATGAAGAAGACAGTCTGGACACACAGAGGGACATACTATGTTCTTTCTTAAAACAACATAAAATGTCAATTCCTTCCAGCTTAATCTACCAAATCAATAAATCCAATAAAAATCCCATTTAGATTTCTTACAGAATCAATTGATTTAATAAAAACTCATTTAAAAAGTCATGAGATGCTATTTCACTTCAGTTAAAACAGCTTTTATCAAAAAGATAAAAAATAATGGATGTTGGAGAGGATGTGGAGAAAAGGGAACGTTTATACCCGATGTTGGGAATGTAAATCAGTACAGTCACTAAGAGAAACCATGTGAAGTTTCCACCAAAAAAAAAAAAAAAAAAAAAAATAGAACTACTCACAACTCAGTAATCCCACTGCTGGGTATATTTCCAAAAGAAAAGACAGCAGTATATTAAAGAGATATCTGTATCCACATGTTTTCACAATAGCCAAAATATGAAATCAACTGAAATGTCCATCAACAGATGAATAGACAAAGAAAATGTAGAATAGTATTCAGCCATAAAAAAGAAGGAAATCCTGTCATTTGCAACAACATGGATAGAAGGACATTAGGTTAAGTGAAATAAGCCAGGCACAGAAAGACAAATATCACATGCTCTCATTCATTTGTGGGAGCTAAAAAAAAAAAAAAAAAACAAAACACTGCTCTCATGGAGACAGAGAGTAGAATGATGGCTACCAAGTGCTGGAAAGGGTAGTGGGAGGGGGATAGAGATGGGTTGGTTGATTAATGGGAACAAAAACACAGTTAAAAGGAATAAGATCTAGTGTTTGTTAGTACAATAGGGTGACTACAGCTAAAAATAATTTACTGTATATTTTAAAATAACTAGAGTAGTGGAATTGGAATGTTCCTAACATGAAGAAATTGTAAATGTTTGAGGTGATGAGTAATATCCCCATTACTCTGACTTGATCATTATACACTGTATCAAAATATCACATGTATCCCATAAATATGTATATATATTATGTATCTATAAAAACATTTTTAAAATTTTTGAATATCTAAGCCAGTTTAGGAAAAAAGGATTGAAAACAGGGATCAGTCTATTCATCATTTCTATATTAACACGTATTCCAAGGCCATAGTTACAAAAATAGTGTGTTTGGGGGCAATTAAGTACAAAATACACTAAAAGAATAGAAGAGATATTTTAGAGACAGACTGATACAGAGGTGAACATATAATATGATTTAAAGGAGGCAACAAAAATCGATGGCGGAAAGATTGTCAGCTTAGCAAATGGTACCTGGGAATCAGGTGAACTGTATAAAGAAAACTAAAATTTGATCCCTGTACAATTGATAGGTGTCCTCCAAATAGACTGAAAACTAAATGAAAAATATAAAATTGTAAAGTTGATAAAAACAATATAGGAAAATATCTTTTTAAAGTAGACATAAAGAAAGACTTTTTAAATAAAGCCTAAAAAACACGAACCATGAGACAAAAAATGATTTGGGGCTGGCTTAGAAATAGAGACACTGAAAATATGATTACACATGGCAAAACATAGTCTGATTCCAAAAATCAGCTTACAAATTAGTTAAATAAAACTGTATGCTAAGCTGGTAACAACCCATATCAATTCATCACCTGCAAGTGTGTGTGTGTGTGTGTGTGTGTGTGTGTGTGTGTGTATATATATTTAAACTGGAGCTGACATGTTAATCTTTCTTTCACTTTGCAACATAATATGTAATACATTATTTTGTCTATGAACAGGAAAGGCCTGCCTACCAAAACTATTTTCCTGGTAGTTTTGTCTTGATCTGATTCTACAATTACTTCAATTGTACCACTCTTGAGGCCAGAAGTACACCTACAAATTATTCATTGTATTCTGTGTATTCAAACTAACCATGTAAAGATTCTAGGTTGTATATTGGAGATTTTAATGTTCTTTTACCTGAATTAACATAGTAAGTTACACCAAAACTCACTATCTTATTCAATAAGTTAATTGAACTCTGAGTTTTCAACATCAATTTTTTAAAAATTATCTTGTAGCAATAATTTCTATACCTTCAAATTAAAATGTTCATTATTTAAGGAATTCAGAGTTAGGCCACTACAGAGTGAGAAAAACATTGGTATAAGCAACATTTAGAAGCTAAAAGTTTGGGAAATACTTCTTCCGAAACACTGTGCCTTTGAGAGTTGCTTTTGTTTTAGCAAGCTCAATTTTATTTTTTATATTATAGAAACATAAATATTGATAACTAAATTTATTATTCTTGATTGCAACCAATTTCAAAGCAAACGCAGAAATAGTTCACCATTCAAGGCCTACAGAAAGCTCAAGAAGCTTCACTCAGTTTCTTATTTCTGTCTATCCCACAGTCCTGTCTAGTTTCTCCCCTCTCCAACACCATTGGCTTTTGACCATTCATTGGTCAGTTCATTACTTTCTCTCTTTTGTGATCGCCTTTCCTTTACCAGAACTCATATATTTGCTGTTAAAACTCCCCCCCTCCAATTTTCAAGAGTGCATACTTTACAAGAATGTTCTAGCCAGTAAAGGTATTGAAGAGTGCTTACCTTCAAAATAGATGCCTGCCTGGATTTCTAGAACCCTGGGTAGGGTCCTGGGGTCAAGAGAGTGGACGAATTCTTCCAGTGATAATGCCATTGCTATGCTTTGGGTAGTTTGTAGACCTGGTGCTCACAGAAACTTGTGGCTTCTGGGTGACACTTGTCTGCAATTACAGCCCCCGCTCACCATTTCTTCCTCAGGCAGGCAGGAATGTCACACTACAGCCAGAGTGGGGTGGAGTAGCTCTATATACGGAGGACAGTGAAGAGGGAGGGAGGAGGCAGGAGACAAAAAATGTTACAGCTCTTTTTGTTCACATTGTGGCTTCATTTCCTTCTGACATTGAAGTTGAACAGGATGGGGGTGGGGTGAACAGACACTGCCCAAAAAATGAGACGTGCTAAGTAACTCATTCTGCCCGTTGTTAATCCAGGTGCGCATCTACTATGGCAGCAAAACTGAGGTCAGAGTTGCTTGTGACTTGCCCACCAACAAAGAACAGGAACATAGGACTAAAGTCTAATCTTAAAAATGGCACCGTGTGAATTCATTATCTCTCTAGTTCATTTCTAAAGCTTGACTTTGTGCCTTATTTGCATACTGTCAGTGCCTTTACATTAAAATTGGTAATAAAAGTGCTTTGTGTCAGCTCTTTTTAGAATTCTGATAGTATACTCTGGAGAGAGTATCGAAACCACTTTTTATTCTTCCACATTAAAAATTTTGCTGAATCTTAAAGGAGGGTAGGGTAGGGATAGAATATGCAAAGTGATACAGTAAGTTAACAAAGTATGTTAAAATGATTTTTCTAATCTCTACACTATAGTAGAAAGTATTAAAATTACTTGTCAGGAAACCTGGGTTTTCTGGGTTTAGTTCTGCTTTTGATTTACAGGCTAACTTCAGCCTTGTCTTCTCTGATTTTCATTTGTTTTATTTACTAAATGGAAATGAAGTAGAAGAGTCCAATCAATTTTGTAATTTCTTCCAAGTTCACAATTCCACAATTCTGATCTTGTTGAAATTTAGGAGGAGAAATTACCAGCATCAAAGGAAGCAGGAGAAACCTCATGAATATCGATCTCTTCAAAATCCTGTTCCTCTCTATTTTTTGCATGTAACTGAAACAATATTTAGAATATGTACAATTAAAGGTGGTAGTTCCTAAGTCTCTTTAAGGTAAAGTCAAAGAATATTGGTTGAGGCTGGGTACAGTGGTTCATACCTGTAGTCCCAGCACTTTAGGAGGCTGAGGTAGGAGAATTGCTTGAGCCCAAGAGTTCAAAACCAGCCTGGGCAACATAGCGAGACTTTGTCTCTACGAAAAAATTTTAAAAATTAGCCAGGCATGGTGGCACATGCCTGTAGTCCTAGCTGTGAGGAGGATGAGGAAGGAGGATCACTTGAACCCAGGAGTTTGAGGCTACAGTGAGCTGTAAACATGCTACTGTATTCCAGGCTAAATGACAGAGCAAGACCCTATCTTAAAAATAAAAAAAAAAAAGAATACTGGTTGGTATGTATACACTTGAAAGATGTCAGGAAGCTACACATTCTCTTTAGTAACTAAACTCCAGGCTCTTGTCTATAAACTGTTTTGGCCTTAGGCTGCAGAGAGCATAGCCAGATACAGAGGGTCAGGGGACATCTCAGTTCTACCATGGCCATCAGGTAAATGACCTAGAAAGATAAATACTGCCTAGTTTTGATATGGAGCTTATAAAGCTGTTTCAACTCTTCATAATCCTATTTGACATTTTCAATAATCTGTCCAGCTTTATTTCTTTCTTTATAAAAGTAGAATGTACGATTGACCACATCAACAGGCTTACTATCGTTAGATTCAAATTCCTCACTTGCAACCTTTTTGTCCAAAAATTTCCTACCCTTGATCTGTCTGCCTTCCATATCCCTCCCCACAGTTTACAGCCTAGTAGTGTATTTCATGTGGATGAATATATGAAAGAGGCTTCTGTGGACTGCTCCTTAAAAATCATGAATCTGTTAGAATTGATACCACAATAAATTTCATTTGATATCTAATGCAAGCTGGATTTCACTTTTTTTTTTTAATATTCCCAAGTCAAATTTCTATCCTACTAGCCAAACAGCCATTTCGTATCAGCAATCTCTTACAATTACCTAGGCTCCATCTGCTTCTGCTCTCACAACAGATGACACTCCCTCTGTGATAATCATCTTCTTTGTATTCTCGATCTTAATTAATGACATTACTATTCTCTTAGTTTCCCAAGCCGGAAGGCTTAGAATCATGTGAGATGCCATTTTTTTTCTCTACCCGTTAAGTCCATCAGGCCCTATAGATGACAATACTCAGTACCACTCACTCTGTCTTTGCTCTATATCCCTACTGCTACTGCTTTAGACCAGATCGCAATCACTTCTGACACTCAGGCAAAAACATCCTGATTTGAGCAGCCAAGACAAGGTTGACAAAGAAGAGCAATGAGAAGGTACTTGAAGCATCAGATAGTAAAATGAATTATTGAAGTTCCATCATTAGAACAGCACATTATAGGTATAATAATAGATTAATGAGAATTCAAAAAAAAAAAAAAAAACCGGACTGTATATAATAATTTACTATTTGAAAAAGGTAAAATTCCAATGCAGTGGGGAAGAATGTTTTCTTCAACAAACGGTTGTTAAATAATTGGGGGAAATTTTTTTCCTAACTTTCCGTGCAGCAAAATTAAAGTTAGATAAATTTTAAAATTAAATTTAAATAAAAATAAACCAGGGGGGAAAAATAGGAAAATGGCTGGAAAAGGGTAAGAAAATAACTATTTTTGAGTACTAATTGAAGTCTTCAAGGAAAAAACTAATAATATATTTGAAAACTACCTTATGAAATACTCCTGTAAATCAAAAAGGAGTTTCAACAAAATAGAAAAAAAAGCATATACTTCAAATAAACAACGGTTTAGGTGTGTAAAGGTCACTTATTAGTCAATATGCAAAATAAAAATATTCAAAGACTTCTACTTCTGGCTATGAGCTTGTATCTGATCACGTTTCCTACTAAAAGCACCTGGAAGAGCTGTATACTTTTTTAAAAAACTGTTTTAAGAAACAAGAGAGCTGTCAGGGTACAGGACATGAGAGGCCAAGATCCTGTAAAGCAGAGCAGGACCATTAGAGGAACTCCATATTCTGCACTTCTTTTCCCTCAAAGCTTTTATGAGTTAGTAATTGGCACCGAGAGAGTCTGAGAAGCAGAGCAAAAACCGGTGGCTCAGGAGGAGAGAACCTGAGTTGAGTTTTTGGCAGTTTCACACAGCAAAAGAGACCAAAATAAATTGGACTTTGGGACTTAGCAAGTCCTCCAGGCAAAGTCAGAGAAATGTGTTGCTTAGCACCACTTTTTCCCCTTAAAAATTTTTTGCCCATTGAAAGCACTACAGGGTTGATTGTGTGAGACACAAACAAGAGCATGATTGGTATGAAGTTGAAGAAGCCAAGGAATGCTTTCAGCAGTCTTGCAGAACTGGGAAGCCAGGGTCAGCCAAGGAGGGAGCAGTATAAGTAGGAGAATGCTTATGTTCTCCGTTGGGGCTCCTGAAGGCTGCTTCCTAAGAGAAAGGGTTGCCTATAAATAGAACAAGCTTTACAAAAACTGAAGCTTAGACTAAAATTAGCTCAATCCCTCATTGGATTAAAGTGGTCTGCCCCTATTCTCGCTGCCAGATAGAAGCAAATGTAAATCCTCCTGTTGAAGAAAAGCAGCCAGAACTTCCATAATATTTAAAAATACAACATCTATAATTAAGTATGAAATGAATAGAAATGCCAAAAGATAGGACAAAGAAAGACAGAGGGAAGGGAGACCACAGAGACAAACTCATGGGGTGATTCTGATATTGGAATTATTACTCCTACAATTTAAGATAATTTTGATAAACATGTTCAAAACTAGAAGACAAGAAAGAGAAAAGAACCACCATCTATAGAAAGTATCAGATGAAAATTCTAGAGTTAAAAAATACAGTAACTGAAATTAAAAATTCAATAATTGGTTTTAACAGCAAATGGGACATACAGTAAGAGAGGATTGTTGAACTGGAAACGGGAGCATAGGAAAGATCTGCTCTCTCTCTCTTTCTTTCTCTCTCTCTCTCTCTCTCTCCAGAGAGATATTTCAGCCATAGTGGAAAGATCTTACATGTAAACTGAGTCCCAACATGAGAGGAGAAATAATAGTGGGAGAAGAAATATTTTAAGATATAATAGCTGAAGATTTTCCAAAGCTGAAAAGGCATCAATCCACAGATTCAAGACCTGACAGCACCACCAAGGAGGATAAATGCAAAAGAAGGCACACTAAGGAACATCATACTAAAACGTTAAAAAGCCAAAGTCAAAGAGAATATCTTAAATGCACTCTGAAGAAAAGAAATCATCACTTTCAAAGTATCACCAATAAGATGATAGCTGACTTACTAACAAAAACCAATAAGGGTAGAAAACAGTGGAATAGTATCATTAAAATGCTCAAAGAAAATAACTACCAACTCGATATTCTAAATCCAGAGGAGCATGAAAGCAACAGCAAAATAAAGACATTTTCAGACAAACAAAAACTAAGAAAATTCATCACCAGTAAACTCTCACTAAAAGCGATGCTATAAAAGGTGTTCTTCACGCAAAAGTAAAATGATCTCAGATAGAAAGTCAAGACCACAGGAAGGAATGAAGAGGGTGAATATGTCAGTGAATTGAATATATTGAGTTCCCAAAACAATGATTAATGGCTTGTGGAGTTTAGAATATATTTGCACTATATATAATTCATGCAATATATTGTAAAACATAGCAGTAATGCAAAAGCAAAACTGATAATGAAGTTAAAATGTTCTAAAGCACTAGACTTCTAGAGAAATTGCAAAAGTAATGTTTAATACCAGAGTTAAATGAATAAAAACACATGTAATTTCTAGGAAAGCCACTAAAATGTAGTAAATTGATGATAAAATTAATCCAAAAAAGACGAGAAAGAAAAGAAAAAGAACCTCAAAATTGCTAGCAGATAGTGTGATGGTATACATAAACTCAATTATACTCTTAAAATAATTGAAAATGAAATAAATATACAAATAAAAAGTAAATAGTTTAACAGTTCAAGTAATAAACTAATGTTGGCAGATAACATTTAAACACATAAATTTACTTAAAATATACAATTCAATTATAAGTTTATAGAAAGTCTAAAGATGAAAAATGGGAAAATATATATCATAAAACATTAAGTAAAAGAAAGCTCATGAAACTACATCAATATTAGATAAATTAGATTTAAAAAAAGGATTATAAAAGATAATAAGGTTATTTGTTTAATAATGAAAAGCTGACCAATTCTTGAAGAAAATTCACAGCTTTAAATAATATAGCTTCAAAATATCTAAAGCAAAATTAACCAAATGAATGGAATCAGAGTAAAAAACAACCTGACAGAAAAAGCAAATATTTAATTCATAAAATTCATACTGTTAATAGTGCAATATTTAGTCACTCATATGTACTACAAACTGTTGCGATCTATCTTGAAATCAATTTGATGTAGCAATTTCACATTTAGATATAATCAGATACACACAAAGATTTATTTATACCATCAACTGAAGCATTTATTACTTTAATGACCAAAAAAAGGAGGAAAAAAGAAAAGAAAATGTATTTCACATTACCCTAATAATTCAAACAGGGAAGTTCCTATTGAAAAAAAAATCTTGTCCTCACACCAGGCTTGCTTAATGCACCTTCTTAAAATTTCTACTAAAGAATAGAGATGGACTTGACTATCAAATGATGATTAAGTTATGGTTAGCATCATTAGTGCCAATGATTTCTATCCCAAGAGAAGTATTGTTGAAAAGAAAAAG